ATGATATATAACACATGGAAGCAGAGAGAAAAAAGAAAAAAGAATGTTATTGCAGATAACATTCTTTCAAAAAAGAAGTGTAATAGAAAAGAAAGGAAGCGAGAACGACGTGATCGCTGACACCTCCCCTTTGCCAGCGGGTTTTGTAAAGATATGGTTTAGTGTTCAAAAGAAGACCAGCGACTTATGGTTATGTAATTTTCGAAAATGGAGAAGATGTATATGGTTTCTGTTGTTCTGGTTCAGCTTCTAAGTCGCGTGTAAGTTTGACAACTAATTTCTTATGCACTTCCAATTTTTGGGAGAGGTCGCCGTAAGACGGTTTCAGCGTTGGAACCGGCGGAGGAACTACTGAGGAGACGGTGGGTAATGATAGTGGTGATTGCATTTCGACATCCGAGTGTGGTGGTGGTTCCACGATATTGAGTTTTTTCATAATATGATTACGGTGTTTTAATTGAGATTTCGATTTCCAGACTGTACAACGATGTAGTAAGGCAGGGGCGAAAACAACAAGCAAAATGACCACGATTAACATGAAAATGTTGAAGAACGACAACCCGATAAGCCACAATAATAGATGACGTTTAACTTGATGACTATTCATTTGTGCCGCACGATTCTTTTGTTGATTGGCCATGCTGTGAAAATCCCACTCACTATGATATTCTTTAAGATTTTCATGCGTAATACAATTGCAGTTACAGTTATTGAGGTTTTCTTGACATTCACATTGCAGAGATATATTCAAATGTGGTTCACACGGAGGATATGATTGACAGACAGTACAAGTGCCACATAGCCACGAACGTAGACCACCCAGTGAAAAAGATGGAAGTGTAGCAAGCGTGATAGAGAATAAGACAATAGCAAAACACTAATAGCCATAACACCAAAGCAACACGAATGGCGTGAAACGAACGACAAGAACGCAGCAAACCAAGAAAGACAAAATACCATATGGTGTATATGGAATACGTGAAACGAGAAGTGAATGAAAAGAGTAATAGGGATAAGAGAATATATGGAATAAGGATGAGTGATAGATAAGAGAGAAAAGAAAAAAAATAGAGAGCCGAACTGTAGAATATGCTCTTCTCTTCTTTTTTTTGTTTTTATTTGGTAGTGCATATCAACCAAAGGCTGATATTATTGATCCTCTACTATAAAAAGAGAAAAAAAATCCCTGAAAGGAACGAGTGGAGCATTGCCAATATAATTGAGGTATACAGGAAAAGACGTAAGTCCGAAACATGTTAGCGTTGTTCGATGGCACTCGCTTCATGACGAACAACATAACTATGGTGGTTGGTTTGAACAATAATCTTCGGATCTGCAGAGTATCGTGGGTCTAATTTTCCCCGAGTGGCGAAGATCTTCGTAAAAACTCGATCACCGAGGTTATAGTGAGGATCGCGATGATTCTGATCGTAACGTTGTTTATTGTACCGTTGATGTTCAAGAATATTTGCTTTCGTCTGCTGGTGGTAGACTTGAATAAGCTTCTGAAGATGAATGAAATAGTCATTAGGGCGAACAAAATGAAAATACCGTTGAGGAGAGTCAATGGCAAGTCTGTGAGATCTACCAAAGAGCAGTTCAAAAGGTGAATATTGTGTTGTTTTGTGCTTCGAAATATTGTATGCAAACACAATGGCGTCCAGGTAGTCATCCCAGTTGTTGTGGTGTTTCTGTTGAAGTTTGGACACTTGAACTACCATGGACGCATTGAAACGTTCTACGACTGCATTTGTTTGAGGGTGGTCGGGTGAGCTGAGGATATGATTATAGCCAAGGAGATGTTGCAGCGCTCGCATAAGACTATTATTAAAATGACTTCCTTGATCCGTGATTAGAGTAGAACAAACGCCATATTTACAGAAGATGTGACGGAAAAGATTTAACGCAGTGAGTTCGGCAGTGTTGGTAGGCAGAGGAATAGCTACGGCAAAATGCGTAAAAAGATCAGTAACGACAAGAACATATTTATTTTGACGAGAAGATTCCACAAAAGGACCATAAAAATCCATTCCAATGATAGAAAATGGAATTGCGGTAGGAGGAATGGGTTGAAGATGACCAGGTTTTTTCTGGCGGGAGTAGTTATATTGTTGACAAGAAATACACGCTTGTACATGTCGTTGAATTGTTTGTCTCATCTGCGGCCACCAGTAGCGAGAACTTATTTTTGAAAGCATCTTATCCGTGGAAAAATGTCCCCCTTGGTAAGGATCATCGTGCATTGCTTGTAGAAGTGATCTTACCATAGAAGAAGGGAGATAAGGGGCAGCAACTTTTTGGGCGGAGTGAGAAGTAGGAGAGATGAGTTTGTCAAGAATGCCATTCTTCATGATAAAAGAAGAGAACAATTTAGTTTGAATGTGACGGGTGTTGTTCAATTGAGTAATAATGCGACGAATATCTGCATCATGTATTTGCTCACGTTGCAAAGCACTTGAATTGAAGATATTAGGAGAGGGTGCTGTAGTGATACGTGGCGTAGCAAAGACTGTAGAATCATCGGAACTAGAAGATGCAACATCAGAAACATCTTCATCGTCGTTATTCGAGTTATGTGCAGGTGGTGGAAGAGGTCTGTTACGAGAACGAAGTGTCATTGTAGCGACAAGGTTTGCCGTAGGTGGAAAACAGGCTATGGAATCGGACTTGTACGGTGGTGGTTGTAAGACTCTCGCTTGGGGAAATTATAGTTCTAGCCTCACACTATTGGTTTTGGCTAGGTGATCAGTATATTTAATCCCGGTCTGCAACGGGAACGAGAGTTCATAGACAAATAAGGTAAATAAGCATACTGACTATTCAACATCAACTGAAGAGAAAAACAACAAGAAGGATAATCACTGGACAAGTCCAGAGAAAAATATATGCTGACCATTTGGAAAATGGAGGAAAATCCAATAGANTCCCGGTCTGAAACGGGAACGAGAGTTCATAGACAAATAAGGTAAATAAGCATACTGACTATTCAACATCAACTGAAGAGAAAAACAACAAGAAGGATAATCACTGGACAAGTCCAGAGAAAAATATATGCTGACCATTTGGAAAATGGAGGAAAATCCAATAGAACACAATTTGGAAGTTAGCGGTAATAGAGTGATCTCTATTGACGCTAACAGTGGTAGTTTACTTTCAAGACGGCAAGGAATATCGAAAAGTGGATCGTCAGACGGGCGAGACAGATAATCGGTGAGACAATTACTTTTACCATTAATATGTTTCATTTCGGCGATTTGATACTCCTGAATTAAATTTGCTACACGTTCAATACGTCGATTAGTCACTGGTTTCTGTAACATTCCACAAATGGGACAATGATCAGTATGGATATAGACAGTCTGTCCCAAAAATAAGGTTCTCATGCGTTGTAGACAATGAAAGATAGCTAAAGCTTCTTTTTCTGGTACAGAATATTTTTGTTCGACGGGCGAAAGTACTTTAGAGTGATAGAAAAGATTATGTCGTTCACCGTTGATGTCTTGATACAAAACCCCACCCATCGCGATACCACTGGCATCGGTAGATAAATGGAGGGGAAATCCATCGACGGGAAAACGAAGAAAAAGAGGAGCAGTGGTGAGCAATTGTTTAAGAGTGTGAAATACTTTCGATTGTTCATCGGTCCATTTGAATAGATGCCGTTTGTGTTTGGTTAAATTGGTCACTTTGTGAATCGGCGCAGCGACATGGGCAAAATTGGGAACAAATCAACGATAGTACGCAAGACCGCCAAGGAATTTGTTTGCTTGTTTAAGTGTACGTGGTTCCTGCAGATCCAGAATCGCTTGTATCGCCTGATTTGTTGGCGTAATAGACGTTTCAGAGACTATATAACCGAGTACAATAAGGTTTTCAAAAGCTAGTTCACATTTAGATGCATTGAGGACGAGCTTTTCCTTCGCAAGAGTGTCAAAAGCCAACCGCAGATGATTTATATGTTCATCGAATGTTTTTGAACAAAGAATGATATCATCGAGAAAGACGTGACAAAAATCGCGACATGGTTTCATAACCTTGTACATAGTTTTTTTAAATCCGGCAGGAGCGTTTTGCGGTCCCATTGAGAGTACTAGGAATTCATAGTGACCTTGAGAGACGACAAATGCCGTCTTTGGACGATCGGTTGGAGGTATACGAAATTGGTGATATCCCGATTTTAGATCAAGTTTGCTGAAATACTTGTAGCCCTTCCCAAGCTCTTGCAGTAAATCGTCAGCGTGTGGAAGTGGACTGGCATCAGGAATGGTAATTTTATTTAGAGCTCTATAATCGACAACGAGTCGATCAGGACGATTATCTTTGCGAGGAACAATGAAGCCAGGAGCTGCATATGGAGAATGGGACTCCTGAATGATACCAGCTTCGAGAAATTCATCAATAAGACGTTGTGTTTCTTGTCGGTTATGTGGATTACGATGAGGTCGGAAAGCAGATGGTAAATGTGGAATAGTACTCAAGACGTTTTCTATAACTATTTTGGAAATGTTGTGGCCTGAATTGTCGAAAAGGTAAGAGAATTGAAGAAGAAGTGAAGAAAGTTGATTTCTTTGTTGATTATCAAGTAGATGTTTTGCCAATAGATCTAGAGTTTCTTGTAAATGCAATGCAGGAGAAGGATGAATAGAATTAAAAACGGCAGTAAATTTCAAAGGTGACGGTTAATAAAGTTTTTTGGGATTATTAAAAAGGCGCTGAGGTAATTGAGGGTGAGTGAAGATGTGCGACAAGACTTGACGATTTTTCTTCTCGTTATAACGACGACAGAGAGCAGAAATTCTATCAAAGTAGCTCTGTTGATCAGCATGGTCACTAAGCAAATATCCAAAACAGAAATATTGTGGTATGTGCTGAGGAAAATCAGACATGTTGGTGACAGAAAGAGATGAATGATGATGTTGAATAGTAACACTTTTCTGATAAGACGAGAGATGAGGATTCTCAAGAAAAATAGAAGTTGAAATAAAGTATGCAGATAATGACGAAAGTGGTGAAGAAACCAAGATCGATACTGTTGAATGTGGAGGAATCAAAGTAGCATAATGTGAATGAAGTGGCACAAGCGGACGGCGAAGGTGATCGTCAACATGAATTGTTGTACAACGGCCATCAATTTCCAATGAAAAATGTTGAAGCTTAACATCGATGTTGGCATTAGAGATGATCATGAAGTCCATGCCCAGAATAAGGTCAACGCAAAGAGTTTCAACGACGAGAGCATAAAAGATAATCAGTTCTTGACCAAATTCCATAGAAAGTTCCACTAAACCTTTAACTTGTAGAGGCATGACGCCGTCGGCGAGAACAAATGAACATGATGTTTCATCAACGTAGCGGAAATCAGACGTATGTTGAAGGACTTTGATACTGATACATGTGGCAGAAGCTCCGGTATCAATGAGAGTATTAAGTGGTGTGCTATTAATTGTGAGTGTGGTATACAGAAGAAAAGGTCGGGATGGTTTAAGAAATGAGATATTGGAGACAGTACCACCCGACACTGACTCCAACTTTAAAAAGGACAGTCGCGAGCTGAGTGTCCTTACTTAGAACACCATTGACAGACAAGGGTAGGAGTTTGTTGAGATGATTGCACTTGTTCTTGCTGGTTGGTAGAAACGGAAGGAGAAGAAGACATAAGCAGAGGAATAATATGCGCTGGCGGTGGTTGTTGTAGTAGAGAAGGAAGTTGGTAGGCGAAGAGATGTTGTTGTAGATTACGATGAGGATTGTAGTAGGCACCAGTTTGTCGATTATCAAAAGATTGTCGCGAGGATGTTTGATTGTGCCTATAGGATGAAGTCGATGACGAATATCGAGGCGAATAATTAGTATTGGTGGGAAAACGTAAATTATAACGTGATGTGCTGACGTTTCGATAGTTATTATCGTTATGATTGTTATACGGTGTGAATTGATGGTGATTCGACGATGAGTAAGGAGGAGTGTCAAACGAAAAAGGAGAAGCTTCAGAAGGAAAAGAATGATCGATTGTGTATTCTGTTCCATGGCATCCAATGCTAGATAGGTATTTTCAAGATCTTTAGCCATTATCTCGAATTCTTCAGGATCCTTCGGCTTTTGTTTCAATAGATCAAGACGATAACTAGGATTTACTTTGGCCAACAATAATTCTAATTTGATCGTTGAACTCATTTGTGGATCAGCTTCTTGAAATAATTTTCGCATCTCACTGCAAAAACTTCGAATATCTTGTTGTAGTGATTGAGCATAAGAATTGAGCTTTTGCATTGCTATACGAGCATAATTTGGAGAATCAAATGTTTTTTTGAAGTGGATGACAAACTCAGACCATAAATTATTAAATTTCGCTTTATTATCTTGAAACCAATCAAGTGCACCTTTATCCAACAGTTGAAAAATCATATCGAATCTCTTCGCGACTGGAATGCCTGCTGTTTCAAATTTAATTTCAATATTTTTNATCATAAAAACTAAGTTAGAAGATTTCATCTCATAAGATATTTAAAAACGATAGAAATCTATGAAAAGGTGCCAAATTATCTGTTTTTCACATCTTCTGATTTTTTTCAATTTTTCGACCGGAAAAAGGTTTAAGAAAACGCAAGGCACACATATTCTTGACCGCCTTGAAATTCTCTATCGAATGGTGTATGATAATCAAAACAAAGTTTTTATACTTTATTTTTGCTTTGCGTGCATCTTATGTAGTACACATAAAATGTTTGTACAATTTACTTAATAGTGTTTTTTTTTTCTTTGTACCTTTGGCTACCACATTCGGTCAGATACAGAAATTGATTTTGCAATCTATTCAGACAAAAAAGTACCTTAAATCAAAGCCCTACTTCAAATTCATCGTTTTCATCCGTCAATAAAAAGTAAATGAATGAAAGTATGCATACCTTCTTTTGCAAGACACTGAACACAGAAAAGAACGAAGAAATAATTGCAACGCAATTGTAACTCATATTGAAAGATACGATCAGTATAAAACTTCTGAGGATTAATCTACGACAAAGCAACAGGCGTGTTCTGTCTTAATATTTGGCGCAGAAATACAAACGTATCATGATGCAGCTACTGCTCGTATGCAATCGTGGTTTCTATAGGTGCCTTATGAAGCAAAGTTATGGTGGAAACGCAAACAACTGCATCCATCAACTTGGAGGTCGAAATATATTGAAAGAAAAAAGAAAGTGAGGGTGTCAGATGCCTCATGAAAAAAATGTTTAAAGAAAAAGAGAGAAAGCGATTCTGCCAAACATACTTGTCGAAAACTAAAGAAAGAAAACAAAAGAAACAGGGAATGTGTTGGATACCTCGTGTAAAAAAAATTCAAAGAAAAAGAAAGAAAATGATTCTGTCACACATACACTTGTTATGAAAGAGAAAGAAAAAGAGAAAAAGTAGCTTACTATCACTATTCTTGTTCAATAATTCGGATGAGTTTTAGACATTTATTAGCAATTCAAACTCTCTAGGTCGATCAAAACGAATACCATTTATGGTGCACTTTCCATCAATAAATAGTGAAAAATGTATAGATGCGAACCAGTAATTGGACAATTACAAGAACACCCAGCTCCACAACAACACTATAGTTTACAACAATAGTCTTAATATCTTAGATTATCTGCGAAACTTTTCTATGTATAATAACCCCTTAACGGGCAAATTTTGGATGAGCAAGTTCTGACGATGTCGATGGCGCAACCAGGTAGACATTAGTCTAGATTATCATATATGAGGATCAGGACAACAATACTGGATTACATCATGTGTAATATGTCCGCTTACAGCGGCCAACATGAGTATGATTTACATAAACATTCTAGTAAAACAAGGAAAAATGGAGTAGTTCTTTTCTTGCTTTGATATGTTGAGTTTTATTTTACAAGAAAAAAAACTCGAACATATCAAGCTACTACATGGTAAAAGCCATGGAAGTTTATGAGAAGGACAAGTACAACTCCATATTGAGGAACAAACAAAGTTCAAGTAATATCGAAGAAAGTCTTTTTATAAATCAAAAGAACCAAAACTAGCAAAAACGTACGACTATCAAAAGAAAGTCACTGCTTTTAGACATCAATATGATGTTCTAATGAATGTAGAATAAGTAAAAGCAATTTCTTTCAATCGAAACGCATAAAGTGACTTTGCATGTTGAACATTCGATTGAGGATCGTTGTTCATTGTTTCTAATGCTGCACCAGGCACATCTCCTTCGAGCCGTAGGTCGTGGAAGATGAATGCTAACATTGTAAACTCGTATTTCATTTGCAATAGACATTTTCTTTTCACCTCTCTTGTGTTTCTTAACAATAAATTTGGTTATAGGTCTTATTTTTCTCTTGTTTGCTGAAGTTCTGCAATCAATTAGTTCTTCGGCAATATTAGCTGAAAAACTTCAAGTATTCATAGTGTCATTTAGATGATCTCTACGATAGATGACCAAAGTGTTCGATAATGCTACATGAACAAAAAAATGGAAAAATATCCGAAGCCAATTTTTTGATCGTCTTGCAATATCATAATATCGAATTCCTTGATCAGCCAGATCCACTCCAACCTTTCCGTGATTGTAGTCCTGGATCATTACAGAACAATGTGCCTGAATTCTTTGCTCATTTTGCAGTCTTCAAATAATTATTGTCATGTTTGTTGGATCAGAAAAATTGGACTTCATGTATACCGGTTTTCGATCTATCCATTTGAGAATTGAAATGAAACTTTTGGCTAAAAATTTAACTGCACCACGATCCATTTTGGTATCACGAATAATTTCAGCTGAAATTCCTCTGTTGTTGGTTCTAAGGGTGCTAGTGCAGTAAATTCCATTTTCAAGGAGTTGTTCAACAGGTAATAGCGATGTGAAAAAGTTGTCGAAATAAACATGATGAAATTTCATTGATAGCTCTCTAGTCATTGACCAAATGATATGTTCACCTAGAGGTCTCTGTCATTCTACTGATTTACCGAAATAAATCTGAAAATTGTAAACTTAACTAGCCAATGCGTTGGCAAGTACTCATACTCTGTGGATCCTCTTCATCGGTTTTTCTTTGATTTATTATTTGGACGAGGATCTTCCATTGAACTTGATCATCTTCTCATCAATTGTTAAGTTTTCTCCTAGATCGAAGTGTGTCTGAAAATTGAGTAGTAGAAGTCCGAGAAAACTTTATACTTTGCTTAGTTTGTTGGATTTCAATTCTTCCCCTGTCGCTACTTTTAAATCATTGACTAGATGTTAATTTTCCTAAAATTCTTTTAAAACTTTTACATAGCATTGACGTTGGAATCTTTTCATTTCGTAATGATGCATTCGTACACCAATAGAAATCAATTGAAGGATTTCTACAATATTCCATAATGATGTTGATGCCAGGAAATTGTTCTAATCCTGCTTTTGTAATATCAGTCCAATCAATCATATCTCTTAATCGTCGACATTTATGTCATCCATAAAGAATTGTTTGTTCAAGAATAAGATTGAACACTTGATCACAAAACAGTCTTTTAAATGTTTGAGTAGGAGATGATGGTTATACGTTATAACATTTTTTTGATAATTCAAATTCTTATGCAGGAGAAGACCAAAAATTTACCGTCTGTGAGCGATTAGTAGATAACGAAGACAGCAATGTTGTAATATTACCAACTTCTTCACTTTTGGAATCCTTTTCATCACTTTCAGAATCATCTTGATTACCTTCAGAAATATCTTGTAATACATTCTATTCAAATTCATTTACTGTAGTCCTCAGATTTGTAAAACGCCTCATATTTTTCAAAACACAATTAGAAATTTCGTAGAACTGGTATCCTACTTATATTTTTCGATTCGATGATTAGTATTATAGCTAGATAAATTACACTCTCTTTGTATGTGGACATGTCGCTATTGACTTCAATACAAAAATTTAACTTTTTCACAAATAGGAAGAAACCAATATAGAAAGTGGGACACACGTTCCTTGCAGGGAAAAAATTGAATATCTATATTATGGCTCGACCAAACGAGCTGATTCTTTTATCAATCATACGTACATATTCAAGCTTTATATTCATAAAGATATGTCTAGAGGAACTCTTTGTTAAGAATATTATTTTCTTTCCTATTTGTGATAAAGTAAAATATTTGTTTTGAGATCAATAGTGATACTTAAGAAAGTGTCTCTCTCACCATGTCTTTATTACTGCTAAAAATTTCAACACATTTGATTGGATAACTGGTGGAGATATTTAAAAAACCCCGCATGTTAAGGTGCTGAATCTGCCACCCCACTAAGGTGCCATTTTTATATCTTAGTTTTGTATCTTGGACCCAATTACACATTTAGAAATATTGTTTTTTTCTCACAGACTTTTACTTATATAGAAAAGCGAATATCTCCATGATCAGATGGCAAGGATAAATTTCGGACCCTTGAACCCTACTTTTCTCTGCTATGGAAGAAGGTTTTGAAATTCTGATTTCATATTTAGAAGCAGTCTTATAGACCTTCTAATTCCATATAATCACCATTTTTTCAAACTTTTCTGGGATCGAATAAAAACTGAAATACTGTTAGTTAGGCCATATAGTATATATCGATATGAAAACTTGAAGTGACATTATCTCATTAAGAAAAAATGATCACTCCACGAAACTTTTACAAAAACTTGCTTATATACTTAGAGTTCTTTTGATACCATTACAGCTTTAAAATGTTTTATCCAAAGTTCGACTTGACGCTTGAACATTCTCAAATGTCACCATATTCAATAGAAATTCAGCATTTATTTGACGATTTTCATCATGAAAAACCATTTTTCAAGCACAATACATGTGATATTCCGAATCAGCATGAATGTCTGAGTAGAACGACGTGTGTTTTACTAAAAAACATTTTATATCAAAACCATCGCCCGGAGATAACTCAAGCAAGTTTTTTTCAGTAAAATGGCTGAGAGGGAGTACGGGTGACATTTTGATGAAAAATATTTTTTAGTAAAATACACGTCGTTCTACTCAGACATTCATGCTGATTCGGAATATCACATGTATTGTGCTTGAAAAATGGTTTTTCATGATGAAAATCGTCAAATAAATGCTGAATTTCCATTGAATATGGTGACATTTGAGAATGTTCAAGCGTCAAGTCGAACTTTGGATAAAACATTTTAAAGCTGTAATGGTATCAAAAGAACTCTAAGTATATAAGCAAGTTTTTGTAAAAGTTTCGTGGAGTGATCATTTTTTCTTAATGAGATAATGTCACTTCAAGTTTTCATATCGATATATACTATATGGCCTAACTAACAGTATTTCAGTTTTTATTCGATCCCAGAAAAGTTTGAAAAAATGGTGATTATATGGAATTAGAAGGTCTATAAGACTGCTTCTAAATATGAAA